CAGGAGACAGTGAGAAAGAGTCCCGCAGCCTTTCTGGAATCGAAAAACTGGCAAATGTGAAAAAGTGCATAATTTGTTTTATTGAACAGGCTGCTTATGTACGTTTGGAGGGCCAGGTTCAAGGACTCTGCATCCCTCCAGGACAATAGCCTCAAGAGAAGAACAGACAGAGCAGGAGGAGATGTGGGGTTTCTCCCAGGAATGAGGTAGAACAGGGATTTCTGCAGATTTGCAAGGAGACCCCGACCACTGAGCACGGGGTTACAACCCCACGTGACCCCTGTCATGTTTGGCTTGGGCTCTGGGTCTGGCCTGATCATATATTCTTCCAGCTGAGTTCCAGAAACTCAGAGGGTAGTCTTAGAGAGGCTGTGGTTGGAACCCGGTGTGGAGACGGAGGGTCCTTTATCCTGAATCCCCTCAGCCTAATCACTGTAGCTGAGTTCCGACACCACCCAGGCCCCCAGGGTGGCCGTGGAGGGAGAGCAAGCCTGGCAGGTGACCCAGGGTTCCCACTGCTGTTCCCCTCCCTTATCTTTGTTCCCTTTCACCCCAAAAGGTGTGATTGTCTCATGTCATGGTGTCAAGCTATCTCTGTTCTCTGTCATTTGGTGTCCCCACCACCGCTTAGCCTTCTCTCTGCATGGATGCTCAAGGACCAGGCTCACTTGAAGTTCTGAGCTTGAGCAGTAAGGTGGAAACAAAGAAACCAATGGAAACAAAGAAACAAGTGATTGTGGCAAAGCTCCCCACCACAGAGAAGCTGCCCTGAGTGGAAGGGAGGGTGTGGGCATGCCCATTTGTTTCCTGTCTCCCAGTGCTCTTCACTTTCTTATTGCAGACCTGCATGGTTACAACAAAATGATCTGCAAAACTGAAAATATTTACTCTCTGGCTTTTACAGAAAAGGCTGACCAGCCTCTGGTTCCTGTACCGGTCAAGTGATTGGAGTACCTTTCCAGTTTGGAAATATCTGGGCAGTCCCAGGTTTGCAAAATTCTTTGAGTAGTTATGGAGTTTTGCTTCTAAACATTTTTATGGCTTTATACTTCTGAGCTGAGGTTGTGTTGTGTAATACTGAGCCGGGATTTTCTCAAACTGTTTCTCATTTCTTATACCGGACACCCTTAAATTCCAAGGGGAATGGGATGTTAAGGAAGCCATGGAGTTTAGGAAAAATATACAGATTTCATTTCCATTTAAGCATCGATGTATCTCCATCCTAGGCAGTATCGGTTCTGTGGTATTGATAGGGGAACTAAATAGCAACCAAATTTATAGAAAATAGTGGATCATTGGGTACACAAGTTCTTCTTTTCAATGTTTTTGTAATGTTTGCAGTTTAAGATGACCATTCCTGAGAAACAGGCAGCCTCTTAGAATGAAATAGCACTTTCCCTGAACCATACTCAATTTTTATTTTGTAGACAGCAGGAAGGGCAATCACACATCCAACCCTTGGGGACCTCAAAGATAAAATGTAACTTTCTGAGAGCACACTCCCCCCATCTCCCCCTGCTCTTTTCACTGTCCCATTGTCCCTGAAGGCTCTTTCGTATCTTCTGCTCATGACACCAGTAACTCTTCCTCCTTGTTCCTCAGCTGGTAAGTTTACTTTTCTACTTTGACCAAGCAAACTGAAGCCAACAGAAGAGAACTTTGACGAGCAACTCCCAGCACATCCGTTCACCTTCTGATGTCTGTGACCTCACTCTCGCTGCCCCACTTCTTATTACAGGTGACATCGAAAGCCAGATCATCCAAAAGTCACCAGGGGGGCCACCCATCCAATTTTCTCCAGGCTGTCACTCCCACATCCATCCTCTCTGTCACTACCTCATCTATTTTGTTCTCCTGCTAGTTGGCTCCTATCAGTATATAAAAGTCCATCCTCTTAAAAGAAACAAACAGCACTCCTTGACCCTAATTCGCCCCCACCAATTGCCACCCCGTGTCTTTGCTGCAAATCTTTAATAAGTAGTTTAAACTCACTGTCTGCATATTCTCTTGAGCCATCCCCTTTTGCACCCACTCTGGCTTTTCCCCTGATACCTCGCTCTATGGAAACTGCTCTGTCAAGGCCATCAGTGTCCCCTCATTGTTAAATATAGTGGTCAGTTTTTAGTCTTCATCATGCGTGGCGCTTTGGCAGCATTTGACCCAGCTCTTCCATCCCTCCTCCCCCGTGTTCCTGCTTTACTTGGCCTCCAGCCCATCACTCTGCTTTCGATCCACTGGCTGGTCTTTTGCCAACGTCTCCTCTTTTTTCCAAACATTTACTGCGAATGTGCCCCAGAGTTGGGTCCTGGGTCTCTCCACTATCTCTCTGCTATAAATTTGGTGGAAGCAGCCATGCTTGGAAATTGACATGACATCAGATTCTCAATTTGTCCAAAACTCCCTGATTGGCCCTTTCCATTTGGAACTCTCTCCCTGATACTCATATTCTTTTTCTTTCATTCATCTTGCTTTTACATTCATACATATGTTCTACTGTGTAAATTACTATTCCAAATATTGAATCAGTCCATACATATCATGTAAAATGCTCAGATCTATATTATTTCCACTAAGATGCTTATTCTACCTTAGGACCTTTCTGCATTTCTGTATTTATGTCAATAAAGTGAATAGTATTTCTACAAGCCTCATAGTTAAGCAGTGTGTTTGTTTGGGGATATTATGTAACATGAAATAATGATACAGCAACATAGTCATTTTTCATTTAATTTTATGTAACACCTAGATGAGGTTTTTTCACTGAAGACAGGTTTTATTGAAATTTTACCTACGGTATGGACAGTCAGTTTATGTTACAGCCCTCATTTCTCCCCTTTTCTGATATATTTTCCATTTGGCTATTATAACATATACCTTGGCATGAAATAAAATTCCAAATTCATTCACATAATAAAATTAATACATTTAAATTATATTTTTTAATTTTAAAAAGAAAGAAGAAAAAACCCAGACTCCTCTACCTATTAGGCGTTTCTGTGGCAATATCTAATAGACTCCTTAACCATGACATTGAAGAACCGAGCTGATTCCAGCCCCTTTCCACCTGCTCAGCCCCATCTTGTCCCATCCCCTGTGGATGGAGAGGACATCCATCCCATTTTCCAGGTCCAGATGTTGGAAACATGTTCTTTATCTCTCTTTCTCTTGCACACACACACACACACACACACACATACACACACACACACACACAGCAAATCCAGC